GTCGGATCCAACTTGAACTTCCCCTGTTTCACTTTGAACCCATCACCCCTTGTCCTACAGTCCCTGATGCAGAGTCCCTCTCCAGGACCCAGCAGGATGTTATTGCTCTGATCAGGCTGTGCCACGCTTGCATCCTGCAGCTCTCACCAGCTGTGAGCTTGACACAGGCAGGAACGCTCGTGACAACAGGCTCCAGGGCCTCTTAAAGTAAATATGGATCTCAGCATCCCAAGTCCTCCCCATCACGATGACCTCCAGGGCTTTTTAAGTCTCCGTTGCCAGGCAAAGAGGTCCCAGCCTGGCCCAGTGGAACAGGGCACTTACCGCAAGCCAAAAGCAGGGCAAGGAGGAGATTCTTCATCCTCAGACCGGTCCTGGAGGAGGAAACAGCAACAGTGGGAGATGAGCAGCACCATGAGGGCAGGACAGATGCTACCACGCCTGCACCAAGGGCATGGAGCACGGTGATGTTGCTGTCACTGTGGACATACAGCATTGTGAAGGTACCCTCGTGCCCGAGTACACACAGACGGCTCCTGATGGGGCCTTTTGATGCTGGTTTTGGGATGCGGCGCTTGGCAACTATGTGCACAGGGACACGGGTTGTGCTGCTGGGGTTGGTGGAGGAGCTCACTGCTGCAGCCTCCTGACGGAATAATGGGCAGTAAAACTCCCCCCGTCCTTATCTCGCCTGCACCTCGCAGCTCCAAGGCTGCTGGCTTAGTGGCTTTGCTTTATGGAGGTGGCCAGGTCCACCCCCTCCTCTATCTGCTGCTGGTGCTTGTCATCGTGCAGCAGGTCTCGCCATGAGGCCCTCGGTGAAGGAGAAGGTTCCTGTCCTTCCCCTTTGTGAGAAACATGATTTCTGCCCGTGTGGCCAGTGGTGATGCTCCCTCCACCACCGCGCTTCCACTCCTCTGCTCGTTGTCTCAGCTCGGGCCATCTCCATTCTCCTGGATGAGCTGGTCAAAGTCTTGGCTGTAGTTTGAATATCCACAGGATTCCGTGGAGACACAGGACAAACGGGGTTTGTGCCCAGGACACACAGAGCTGGCACCACAGCGGTCGCTGCATCCCTGTTCCAGCTGCAGAGGAGGCACTTCGGCCTCTGTCGTCTCAAGCGGGTGCTTGGTTTTGTCAGCTCACACCCTGCGACCTCTGAGGTGGTTCCTCTTGGGTCCTTCCCTTGCAAGTGCCCCCTCTCACGTCTGCATCTATTCCTTGAGTGTGTGGTTTTCCTGCCCTCAGGGCATGGAAGACTCTGGGAGAGAGAGGGGCAAGGGGTCTGTGGAATGGAATCATCACAAACTCCAGGGAAACCGACTTGGAATGCTTCTGAACAGAGTGTATTTAATCACCACAATTGAGACGTGATACCAAGACACAAGGGAGGCAAGAACCTGAGGAGATAAGAAACAAAAGCTGCTATTTTCCCTGCTAAACCACAGGGCCAGAGCAAACACACACTGAGGTATGCAGGGCTCCACCCTCGGTGACCAACCACACTCCTAGGAAGGGAATTCCAGGAGGGAATGGTAAGAACCTGGCTCAGGGTCTGTATTCAAGGAGAAAACCCCTGTTGAACCCCGTGAGAGCCACCCAAGCTGCTCACTGGAGGGATGTCACCTCCCGCCTGTCTTCCAAGGTCCCTCCAAGGCTCTTCCTCCCCCTGACCTTCTATTTCCTGCTGCCGAGTGGGATGAAAAGCCACCCAAGCCCGGTAAGGGAAGGCTGGTGAGCAGCAGCTCACTGCCTCCCCCCATCAGGGGTGCTGAGGGGCTTTTTCCACTCGGCATCTGCACAAGGAACCAGCTCAAAATGCCACGATGCAAACCAGTGGGTATCACACCGACACCCAAACCCCTCCTGACTTTCAAAACCACGACATCCCAGATGATTAATCATTCCCTTCCCACCTCATCCACACAACACTCCCATTGGAGAAGATGTGCCCGTGGTGGAGGTTGTTACCTGCACTGCTCGTGCTCACATGCTTTGGTGTTGTAGGTCCTTGCCCTGTGTGGTGGGTTTGCTCATGTGTTGGCCCTGATC